ACACATATAAGATCGCAAGAATCATTCAATTGTGAACCATTTTCTCCCAGCTTTTAAAATCGCATTGAATGATTTTCGTTTTGTGCAAAAGTTTTTAGAAGGATCAGTGTGTTTGTCTTCCGATAGGTGGCGCAGGGATTGAGAGCTATCCTAAAAAATCATATTTATGATCAGATTTGTTTCACTTTTAGAACACATATTAATAACATCAAATTTGGTATAACTTGGTAGCCCAGTCGTGTGATGAAATATTGGGTTTTGGCCCAGTCTTGACAAAAACCCGTGTGAAACCGCCGTTAGAGAAGAAATATTATCTTTTGTTGCAAAAATTCAAAATACTTTCTCAACCGTTAACAATTCTGATGAAAAAAAGAAAGAGTTTATGTAGATGTGGGCAATTTAGTTTTTAACCTCCAAGAGGCTCTCAGACAAATATAATCGAAAAACTTATTTACAGTCTGAATTGGTATATGTTTGACATATTAGTCAGTGATAAACATTACATCTGTACATACAAAAACATATGCATATTTTTTAAAAATGAAAATCGAGGTTCCTTTTTCCGTTTAATTACAAAAGCTACTAAAGAAATTTGGGGGAGGCTTGCTAGAATTAGCATTAGTCAATCCGGTATTAACGTTCATAATTCGATTTTAAGTTTTCCTGTAAATTCGCTATATATTATGCAGGTGGACTTCAAAATAGTAATTCGCATAAAGAAGTTGACAGGTAAAATTCAAAAGTGTATGAAGAAAGATGTCGAATTTCGACAACTGGGCGATACTAGTATGATTAAAACAATTTCAATAGATTTACTCAAACCTGCAAATATAATTTCTGGTACAACACAAAATTCTAATTCACTAACAATTAGAAATACAAAAAAGAAAATAACATTTAACATTAATTAATTTATCGTTTTACTGGAGGTGGAAGAAATGTAGGCTAATTAAACTGTGTATTTTTGCACATGTTTGCATTCTTGAAGTTAAATTTATTGTTCTATGAATTCGTTTGTTATTGAAAAAGAAAATTTTTGATTATTAATAAATTACCAAGAATTTAAACAAATGTAAAAACATACAGTTTAAGTACCATACAATAATATTATTTTGTATGAAAATTCTACTTCACATACTAATTTTCAACAATTTAGATCAAATATTTTCTGAAATATCATAGTTTTTGCATTTTTCGAAAATCCGTTATATGAGAAGGTGGCGTGGTTGCCGTCCGATTTCGCCCATTTTCAGTAGAAACCTACGATAAAGGGCAGCCTATATACCATATTTCGTTGAGATATCTCAATTTTTGCTCGAGTTATCGTGTACATGGACAGACGGACAGACAGACATGGCTTACATTTGTCTATATCTATTGCGATTCCTTTAGGCTGTTACAAATAACCGTTATGCGAACAAAGTTATAATACCTTGGGCACAAGGGCGCTCGGGTATAGTTACATATACTAAAATAAAATAAACATTAAAATAGTACTTACCTGGGCTCCAATACCAACACCGCTAGACCCAGGCAACTTTAAAGTCATTCTGTACAGTTTATAAACCACAATTAAATCATATTAAATTACAATTACAATTACTTGGGCTCCAATACCACCACCGCTTGACCCAAGCAACCCAAACCCTTCGTCATTCTGTAAAGTTAATAAGAAATTGTCTATTATTTGTTTCAATTGATTACATATTTATACATACTACTTTATATACTGCGTAATGTTTGTGGTCAACAGTTGAGGGTCAATGTAGATTTCTTTATTTTATAACAATCCGAAAAATTCAATCGATACTATGTTTCGCAAATAAAATAAGATTAACGCGCCAAAATGAACATCAACATGAAATGTCAAAGCTGCATGCCAGCTGTTTACTTAAAAATTTTAACTTGTTTTGCCTTCAATAACTTTTGGTAGAAATTTTCTCTTCCTCTAAATTTTTCTTTTACGCTCTCGCTGCAAGGGCACCCTGAAATTGTGCATATGGAAACTGTGCATACGAAATAATGCATATGAAAAAAACCGAAATAATGCATATATGCACAGTTTCGGTTGAAAACCGAAATAATGCATATGAAAAAAACCGAAATAATGCATATATGCACAGTTTCGGTTGAAAACCGAAATAATGCATATGAAAAAAACCGAAATAATGCATATATGCACAGTTTCGGTTGAAAACCGAAATAATGCATATGAAAAAAACCGAAATAATGCATATATGCACAGTTTCGGTTGAAAACCGAAATAATGCATATGAAAAAAACCGAAATAATGCATATATGCACAGTTTCGGTTGAAAACCGAAATAATGCATATGAAAAAAACCGAAATAATGCATATATGCACAGTTTCGGTTGAAAACCGAAATAATGCATATGAAAAAAACCGAAATAATGCATATATGCACAGTTTCGGTTGAAAACCGAAATAATGCATATGAAAAAAACCGAAATAATGCATATATGCACAGTTTCGGTTGAAAACCGAAATAATGCATATGAAAAAAACCGAAATAATGCATATATGCACAGTTTCGGTTGAAAACCGAAATAATGCATATGAAAAAAACCGAAATAATGCATATATGCACAGTTTCGGTTGAAAACCGAAATAATGCATATGAAAAAAACCGAAATAATGCATATATGCACAGTTTCGGTTGAAAACCGAAATAATGCATATGAAAAAAACCGAAATAATGCATATATGCACAGTTTCGGTTGAAAACCGAAATAATGCATATGAAAAAAACCGAAATAATGCATATATGCACAGTTTCGGTTGAAAACCGAAATAATGCATATGAAAAAAACCGAAATAATGCATATATGCACAGTTTCGGTTGAAAACCGAAATAATGCATATGAAAAAAACCGAAATAATGCATATATGCACAGTTTCGGTTGAAAACCGAAATAATGCATATGAAAAAAACCGAAATAATGCATATATGCACAGTTTCGGTTGAAAACCGAAATAATGCATATGAAAAAAACCGAAATAATGCATATATGCACAGTTTCGGTTGAAAACCGAAATAATGCATATGAAAAAAACCGAAATAATGCATATATGCACAGTTTCGGTTGAAAACCGAAATAATGCATATGAAAAAAACCGAAATAATGCATATATGCACAGTTTCGGTTGAAAACCGAAATAATGCATATGAAAAAAACCGAAATAATGCATATATGCACAGTTTCGGTTGAAAACCGAAATAATGCATATGAAAAAAACCGAAATAATGCATATATGCACAGTTTCGGTTGAAAACCGAAATAATGCATATAACAAAAACCGAAATAATGCATGCAGGCACAGTTTCGGTTGAAACCCGAAATAATGCATATGAAAAACCCGAAGTAATGCATACATGCACAGTTTCGGTTCAAAACCGAAATAATGCATATGGCAAAAACCGAAATAAAGCATACATGCACAGTTTCGGTTGAAACCGAAATAATGTCTAAATGCACAGTTTCCATATGCGCAATTTCGGTGCCCCGCTGCAAGTACATACTTATTGAAAAAGTTATTGAATGGACCTATGTTTTGCGCCCAGTGGCGTGGATAATTAGCGCGATGCAGAAAATGAAGGTAGCGGCATTATCGGACCGCTAACAATCTTATAGTCGACAGCATCCTCGCATTCGCTGACGTCACACAATACTTTTATGTTTACATTCATTGTTGATAACTTCGTACTTTTCATCGAAATGCTTTTTGGAATATCGAATCTGATTTGAGAAGAGGATATATAGGCCTTTAAAATGGTAAATAATAATCTTTTGTCGGACGTGGCTTGTTGGGATTTTTTTCTCTTATTTTTTTAAATTTTGACCAAAATTTCAACAATATCAAAATATGTAGCACTATCTAAAATTAAATCTATTTTTAAATAAACTGGTAGTTCATTTATTGCAATCGCATAAATTGTCGAAGTTAGGCGACTTTTCTTAAATAATGCCTTGAATTTATATTGTGTATATACCGCAGTTGGCTAAGGAATTCATCAATATTTACTCAAAATTGATATATACAATCGCACTTTAGCAAAAAACAGGTTTTTCTAAAAAAGTTTGGAAATGAGTAGTCCACTTGCAAAGTGCTCTATTTAAATGTTTTTCGATTTTTTGTTTTTGGTGGGTAACGTACAGTATTTAAAGTAGTTTCATGTCCACTAACAATTCTGTGCAAAATCTTTCTATATTCTGTTAAGTACTCTTGCAAAAGTCGCTCTAATACTTATGTATGTATTTATACACTTTCATAAGTCTCCATCTTCTGATGAACTTAGAAAACTGCAAGAAAACATGGTAGTTTCGATGCCTAGCGGAAGACGTCTTAAAAACGAAGCGGACCACCCTTCGTGGAAAAGAGAACGCGAAAAGTTAAAAAAAGCTAGCAATGTAAAAGTTACTGTTTCAAAACTCGCTATATTAAATTATTATATATGAAATTTTCAAAAGCTACCGCATTGCGATTTGTTTTTTAATGTTATTAAGCTCTTATTTATTCAAATTTTGAGATATGTAATAAAAAGAAATATTCAATTTGGATGTAGAGTTGACAACTCATATATGGGTATCTCAAAAACTACTCGACCGATCTCGGCCAAATTTGGGACACATATTGCTTTCATTTGTGTCCACTTCAGTACCTTCCGAAAACTTTTTTCGAAAGCTTCTCAAAAGAACAAAAAAACTGGGATTTGTAGCTATTTAAATCAATAAATACATTTCACGGTGAGTTAATACTTAAACATTTATCGAAGCTCCGATTGTTTTATTTTCTTGTGATATATTTTAATTAAAAGAAACTGTTGACATTTTTATTCGATGCATCGAAAATATCGATGTTCGATATATCGCTATATTTCGATGCATCAAATGGAAAAAAACATCAATGTATTTTTTTGACTTGCATCCCAAAGATGAATACTTGTTTCTGTTGTGGTGGTGGAAATGCACGCTAACAATAGGTAAACTACAGTTTCTTCAGATTGAAACATTTATTTACGATTTTTATTACATTTTCGTTTGCGTGTATGCTCTTGTGTATGCCATTTAAAACACCATCGAGATTTATAAAAAGATTGTGCGTGCAAAGTTTTGTTTGAAAAGCAAATTACATACATATGTACATATGTATGTATTTATAACACTTGTAAGAACTAATTGCGGGTTATCACTTCCCACAGACCCAGTGAGAGGGTTTACGGCATTTAAAAACGAGGTTTAAATGTCGCTGGATACTGCTGGAAGCGAGGCCGAAGTACAGTATTTCCACTTTTATCATACTCTTTTCCGGTTTGCCCGAGAATTACTCCATCGCCACCCTTTCCATCTTTTCCACCCGAATTCGCTTCAATTACATCAACAATACGTGGGTTCTTACGGTACTTGTACCACCAGTATTCAAACACAAGTGTAATGCAGGCCATTCCGATTCCGACAAAGATAACTATAAAAACGCCGCCAATATTATGTATAGATATACCGTCGGACTGATCCTCAGGCTTATCACATTTAGCTTGGGTTTCATCGTTTTTCCACCATTTTTCCTTTAGTTTTTCCAGCTGTCGCTTGTTGAGTAGAGTTAAAATTCTATTTAAAGGGTAAACATACATGTGTATTCTGTAGTATTCGTATATTAGCTTTTACATATATATGTACCTCATTTACTAAAAAACTGTTACAATTCAATAAACGGGATTTTTAGGAGACGTGTTTTAAGTTTCTAATTTTTTCTGTATTACTCGTATATAATCAAGTATTTACTTTTACATAGACTGCTTTTACACAGTTCAAGTATTGAGTTCAATTCTGCTCGCATGTGGAAGAGAGGGGGTGAGAGGAAAAGGGACGAGTACACATGCGTCTGTACCGTCAAGTCGTTTCAACTTTCTTGCTTTGCTTTTGGCATTTTCGTTGCTTCCCATTTAAAGAACCAAAGACTTGAATTCAACAGAATTGAAACGTGTAAAAGCAAATAAAAAACACAAAAGAGAATGAGCAAGAATTGCTTTCAAGTACTTGAATCATGTAAACAGGTGATACATCTATACCTCATTCACTACAAAACTGTTACAATTCAATAAACTCTCGAAATGCACACCACAGATGCACATATTCCCTTCATAACCGGAAACATTGTGTACAAATACAAGTGAGATATCTTAGCAATAGACGTCATCCTGGGCCACAGCTGCGATCATCTGTTTTTTAGAGTTGCTTATCTTGGTCTAAACTGCTCTTTTTGACCTGAGTTGCATTAAATAGTCTCTTAAAACTTGGTAGTATTTGTTGTTCAAATGCTTTTTAAAAATGCTATTTACAAAATTTCGTTTTGATTGCGACATTAGAAATATTCAGATTATAAAAGTTTTTCACATATGTTTTAAGATTTTAAAGCTTTTTAAAAATACGGTAGAATGCAACAATGTGCTTGAATTTGTTTGCATCTTCGTCAGCTTATTCGTTTGCAGACTAGAAAAATTGCGAACAGCCATCAAAATACTGATTAAAATTACACATCTTTCACTGGACACACAAATGGGTGCGCGCCGCAAAATTCAGCCCTAATGGTAAGTTAATTTCATTGTGCGGCGATGACAAGTTAAGAATTTGCGATACATTTTCAGGTGAATGTGTGCGAACGTTCACCGTGGGAAGAGGTATGGGACGACAGCTGGCATGGCATCTAGACGGTAATCTGGTGGCTTTAGCATTAAGTTGTAACCGCTTTAAGATATTTGACATAGCTGAAGGCGAGCTAATACAGTGCATTCGTCGCCGGAGAATGATGTTGCATTTCACCCAAGTGGAAATTTCTTGGTGACTGGCGGCGATGACGATACAATAAGATTGCTTGATTTATTAGAAGGTCGACCAATTTATACACGGTAGTAGTGCACTTTAGCGGAACCACATAATATATATTTTTTCCTGTATTCAACAGTTGCTCGTTTGGAAATCTAATTTGCATACATTTGATGCCAATAGCTCTCGCAACAAGCAAGCCAGCTCTCAAAGAGTCCAAATTGATTTTAGTCATGCAACAGCTCCACATAACTCCGACATAGACACACACACCAGTTGCTGCAGTACCAAAAAGCTGTGATGACAGTATTTTAATTGATCCACGACAATCGGTGGCATATGGAATGCGTGATGGAAATTTTCTGGTGCTTGATAGCCAATATACTACAAGAGTGAAACGCTACAAGTGAAACGCTGTGATAGTATTTTTTCTTAAATTTCCATCTTTTATTTGCAGTTACATTAAGAAGCTCATAGAGGACAGAGCGGTTGGTGAGGAAGGTGTCGAGTTACTGCTGTACTGCAACTGGGAAAATCCGCATTTCGCACGTGCTCCACTCGTATGGAATAGTAGCTTATGTCGAAAGGCTGGTTTTAGTATAATGCGGCATTCGCAGCATACCCTCACTGGCGCCGAGCCGTTGAAGAAATTTTGGATAAATAAACGTGCAAGAAATAGTTCCGATACTAGCACGTCCATATTCTTGTTAAGGGTCATCAAAAAATTCCTTGTGTTGTAAATAATAAAGGGAATGCCGGATTATACTAAAGCCAGCTTCCCGACATAAACTACTATTCCATACGAACACAGAAATATAAATGTATCTAAAACTGAATAACTCAAATCAAATTGGATTGCATTTGCATAATATACCTAATATTGGAATCTGTTTTGATCGTAAAAAATACAACTTGCAATCATTTAGATTATAGTTTTGAAAGAAATTGATTGCAATCGTAAATTATGTAAAAATTGTCAATAACAATCTGCCTAAAATTTCTTTTCCCCATGTAACGGTTATAAAATACGTTAAATCCGCACTATCTGCATTAACAAAAAATATACATTGGAATATTTAAAATAAACCGATTCATATTTATTTTCTAATAAGAATTGTTTCTTAATTGAAAGTATTTAATACTAATATAATGTAGTGGTTAATGTTTAAAAATGAATTCGCAATATGTCCGCAGCTCAGGTTGATTTAAAGATCCGTTTAAATTTTTCGAATTACATCTACTTGAATACAGGATAGGCAGGGTTGCATACAAATGGTAGTTCCGTAAATATTTAAAATATGTTAGTTCATTCAATATTTGCATCTGGGCCAATAAATAATAACAAATATAGCCGAAAAAAACAAAGTTTCAATTAAAACGAGTTTTTATAACCCCCCATAAAATTCCGATTAATTTTAAATACGAAAATAACGATATTTTTTCATGGAGATTTATTTTTTTAATATACCTTGTTTATACCTACACAAAAACCGGATTAGCAAAAAACCGATTGGACTCAACATATATTTCTTTACAGCATTTATCCCCCTGTCTTTATAGCGCACTCGATAAAGTCTTATTCAAAAGTAAACAAAATTGCTATTTTTAAACGACATTTTTTTAATAAATAATTTGCGCGGTTGACCGAAATGGAAACAAACAATAATTGTAATTTATTATAACAATAATACGAATTTAAAACGGGCTGTATAAAGAAAACCAGCCTATTGTCACTTCACTTTCCAATGGTGCTGATTGCTGCAAGAATTATTTAGCGATTTAGAGCATAATCAACACAATATATGCACATAAATATGTATTATTTCACAGATCTCACGGCCAGCTTAGAAATACGTCACCAAAATTATATAAAATTTAAGTAGGAATTATTTTTATTTATAACGTAAAGGCCCTATCTGACCCATTCTGATAAGTATATTTCCCCTAAAGTTAACCCATTTTATTTAATTTGTCTCTCGTGAAAATATATATATATTTTTTTTAATTTTCAGATATGTACATATATTTTAAATTTTTGCTTTAATTTTTGTATCCTTTTAATATTTAATTAGATACCTTTAGATTAAAACAAGCTTAAAACGAAACAGCACAGCAACCCTTTTCTGTTCATCTTGAGAACACAAAACCCTCTTTTGTTAAAATTCGGCGCTGCACAAAATCCTGGCGTTTATATTTTCCAACAAAATACCACTTCGCAACCCTGGATTTTCACGAAGCGTTTCATTCGGGTCGTAGTTTTGCAACTTCGGGCCATTCGGTGTTGTATGCCATATTGGCTGCCATATTTTTCACACTGTCATCGCCATATTGAACACCCTGTCAACTATCTGTCAACCCTAAGATATCTCACTTGTATTCTTCCACAATGACCGGAAATTATACAAGATTTTAACATCACATTTCCATTCTTTCAGTTGTGATTCTTTAGTTCTAAATACCAAGAGAGTGCTGGAATTTCTAGCTCATTTATGGTTTTATTCAAATTGATGTGGGAAAATATTCTTCCCACATTTGCTGCTGTGACGACTGGAATACAAATTTGATTCAAATGAGGAAACGCGTTTTCTTATTTTCTTAAAATTTTACTTACAAAAAAGTGAAAGAAAACTTTTAATTTATTCGTTGAAGTCGGAAAAAACTGTAATATGTACTATTTAGTAGAGTTGTCAAACTATCGATAGTGCCACCATCGATAGTTTCCATGTTTCAGAAAAAACTTTCATTACTCGTTGATAGTTTCCAGCAATACTATCGATAGTGCCAAACGCTACCATCGATAGTACTATCGATAGTCAATGTAATGTTAAAAACTGTTCCAAATTAACAGGGACGGCATCGAAAAACAAAAAAACAAAATATTGAAAATATAAACACACGTAGCACAGTGCCGCCTAAGTGGGCATAAATCGAAAAATTCGTTATCTGCAATGTGAGCTTGTTTGGTATTTCTGTAAAGACAATTTATCCACTAAAAAGAATTAGATAGACATTTCCCTAAAAAAATAGTTATATGCCACCAGGAAGCCACTAAAGTCGACAAATTTTATACTAAGAATTTTAATAAAAGCATAGCCAGGCGTAAGCTCTTCACAGAAAAAAATGTCAAAAATATATTCTTTGAAATAAAATGTTGGTTTGACGTTTCTTGTTTCCATATAGATAGTAGAGAATTACAGGAATTAAAATTATGGAATAAAATTAAGCACACGGTGTCCCTGCGGTGTTCCAAAAAAACATTTTTTTTAAACAAAATTTCAAAAAATTTTAGTGGAATGAATAAAAAATATGTGTAAAAATAGGTTATTTTTTATTATTTTATTAAATAGTACGGGCTTTTATCTTTCAAAAGAAGAAATAAGAACCTGCTAATTTTTTGCACTTTCTGAAGTAATGCGTTTTTCGCTAATGCATAAAATAAGTTTTTCATTTTTTGTCAGTGCTTTGAGATCTGCACGATTCGTTCCATTTTCAAAAATGAAGTGTCAGATTAAAAATCTTAACCTGTGGACAATAGAAGGTTTATTTTTTTTTAAAGAGTTGCCTCCTGTTAAAAAATTAGATTGTTAAAAAATTAAATTCAAATTTGTTTATAAGTTAAATGAATTATTAAGAGATGGGTATCAATCGAAATCTGTATTAACTACATGTATAGAGTTGCCACCTGTTTAAAAAAATCCAATTCCACTTAAACTAAAGGAATTAGGTAATTGAAATGGATAGCTATCACCATAAGGGAGTCAGACGAGAGATGTTTAAGAAGGTTTTAGCTTAAAAATGTTACGAATAGGGTTACCACCTGTTTGTAAAGTCGAATTTAGTTAAAATAAAATAATAATTACGTCAAACCATAGGATTACGCCATCGTGTTTGTTGTTTTAGTACAAATACATACATTGCAAATCAGTGATTTGTTCTGATTACATTTCTTTCAAATTACTGGACTCTTAAATTAAATCAGGAATGTTTTTACTCTCCACTTATTTCTTGCTAAATATGGCAAATTTTTTCATTTGTCTTATACTCATATTCAGTTACCTTATTCCCTTAATTAAAGTGAATTTGATTTTTTAAACATGTGGCAACCCTTCTACGTGTCATTTAGAGGTAAAGTATTTTCAAAAGTAGTTCAATTGATACCCATATTGTAATATCTAATTTATTTAACTTATTAAATAATTTTAATAAAATTTGTAACAGGTGGCAACCCTTTTTAAAAATAAATAACTTTATTACACATCTACAGGCCAAGCGCTGTCATTTCACACCTCACTTTGGAAAATAGAACGAACTATGTATATGTACATACCTATGTAAAAGCCACAAGAACCCAAATTTTCAACTTCAAACAGCATTTACAGTGAAAGTATGGAAGTTATCTAAAAACCAATTGCATTTTTGAATTTAGCGTCCTCAATTTTACTATGAAGCGAATGTTCATTTCATATGGAAGGGAAGCACTGTGCGTAGGGCNCATGAGCATAAGGTTTCCATCAGCTCCAGATATTGTGAAAAACGAGGTCAAAATGTCAAAAAATCGGGTTTTTTTGGCAATATTTTAGAAGCTCTAGCAAATAAACAAAAGGCGGTATTAGGCTTAAATTAAAGCTAGAAGTCTCGACTACTATCCCTGAAAATACCATCCCTACACCATGACCTGATGGTCACTTATAGTCATTTATTGAACAGCAAAACCTGATTTTGTGCGCAGTTTGAGTACCCACCGCAATTAAACAACAGGGGATAGAGCCTTCCACTTGGGCTGAAATTAAGGCTTCAACTTTCGACTACAATCGCTTAAAATACCATTCCTGAACCTTAACCCTAAGGTCACTTATAGTTATTTATTTAACAGCAAAAAGTGGTTTTGGCAAAACTTATTTATTTTTTTTCAATAGCACAGTATTTATTCCATTATTTTTATACCCGAGCGCACTTGTGCACGAGGGTATTATAACTTTGTTCACATAACGGTTGTTTGTAACAGGCAAAACGAATCGAGATAGATATAGACAAATGTATACATAAATGATCAGAAGGAAAAGAGAAATCGATTAAGCGGTGACTGTCTGTCCGTCCGTCCGTCCGTCCGTCCGTCCGTCTGTGCACACGATAACTCGAGTAAAAATTGAGATATCTTAACGAAACTTGGTACGTGAACTTCTTTTGGGC